ATGGATGGAGGAGGCGGGGGAGGAGGAGGAGGAGGAGGAGGAGGAGGAGGAGGAGGAGGAAGAGTAGGAGGCGGAGGAGGAGAAGAAGATAGGTTAGAGGCGGGCAAGTTGAGACAACCGTAGTTGGCGTTCGAGGGGGGCCCTCGTCGCCATGGTTGGGATACGGGGTGTTTTTGTCGCGGATGCCCCGCGCGGGGCGTAGCCATGCGACTGCGTATCCACGGGGGCGCGCCTCGGAATCCAGACCGCGGGGGCGTGAATATATACGGATTTGTTCGCCGCTCGTGATCGTGTGTGCTTCTCATGTGCGCCAGGCCAGCTGCGCACGCTTCGTCGCATGGCGAGGGGGTCGAGTGCAACTGCCAGTGGCCCTTGCCCGGCGTGGCCTCTGATGTGGGCCCTCGCGGTCCCCCCGATGGCTCGGTGCGGTGCGGTGGCAGCGGCTTGCACGCTCGGGCCCCCCCCGTCGCGCCCCCCGAGGCCACTCTTTCCTGGGATCGCTCCTTCGTACAGCCGAAGGGGGGCGGCGGCGGGGACTGGCGCGAATGCTGCCCGCGCCCTGCGGCCAAAAAGCCGAAGGGCCCACGTAAATTCAGGCCCGCAAGCCTTTCGGCCCATGCGGACCCATCAGCCAGAGTGATGATAAGGTCGGTCAATTGCAGAAAGACATCGGGTTCGTATCACATCATACGAACACGCTGGCTCATGGGCACGAGCCCACAATTGCCGAGTGGTAGTTCTGATGGGAATCAGATATGCGACTGTGTACGTAGACATCGCTGCGCTGAAACAATGTGCTAATGCATCCCACTTTTGTTGTGTCCAGCGGCGCAAATGGCACTATTAATTGAACGCCCCCGAGGGGGCAGACACCGCCGCCCCACTGTTTTCCCGAACCCAGAGTTTTTTTTGCGGGGGGGGGGGTCATGGCGACCCCAGAGGGTCCAGAAAGGCTCGAAGGCGGCGTAAGAGGTAGGCAAGAGGCTCTAGGGGCGCGGGTGGTGGTGGTGGTGGTAGTGGTGTTGCTGCCACAGACTGGCGGCCGTCGCTTTCTGGGAACGCGGGGAGTTTGGGAGGCGTGGTGGAGGAGAAGGAGGGGAGTTGAAAAGCTACTCGGGTGCGGGGGGGGGCGGATCGAAGACGGCCCCAGAGGGTCTCCAGACACCCCGCTGAACTTAATTAAGTACGGTAGGTTTGCGTCGTGTCGACCAGCGGCGACCCCAGCGCGGGCGTTCAAGGTTGAACGCCGCCGGCGACCCAGAATCGATCGATGTTGAACGATCGGACGTTGCGGCAGCGGCCGATCGTTCAAGGTTGAACGATCCCTGCGGTGTCAAAAACCAACGCTGGGGTCGTCACGACGCGAACCTGCCGTACCAGAAGGCGAGAGGGGGGTCTGAGACGGCCCCTGTTCCGACTTGGCGCGGAGTTGGGGCGAGGGGGGCGACGACGGCCCCAGAGGGTCGAAAAAGACGCCGAAAAAAAAACGCAAGACGGTCCAATGAGGCCACCAAAGGGCCCGAACAGGCCCGGAAGACGGCCCAACAGGGCACCCGAAGGTGTCGAAAACGGCGGAGCGAACCGAAGAGGGACACGGAGAGCCAGAAAGGAGCATTCCCAAGAGTTTTTGGGGTCTCAGAAGGCTCTCCAGGGACCCCACGGGCGCGGCGAAGACGGCCTAAGAAGGCCTCAAAAGGGCGGCCAGACGGCCGAAGGAGGTTCCGGGAGACCTTCAGGACGGCCCAGGAGGACTTGTAGTGAGTCCAACGTGACTGGAGAGGCCCCAAGAGTGGCGCAAGATGCTGCAAGAGAGCTCCAAGAGGCGCAAGAGGAGGCCGAAGCTGCGAACATCATCAACATCCAAAGGGCTTTTGCAGGTTTTTGGCTTCAAAGTTTTTTGCCTGAGCATGCCGCGAAGAGGGCATCGGAGGGATCCGAGACGGCCTCGGAGGGCCCGAAAGAGGGGCCAGAGGAACCCAAGAGGGCTCCAAGAGGCCTCGAAGACTGCCCCGGAGGGCCTCCGGGGAGGTCCCAAACGGCGCCCAGAGGCGTTCGGAAGTCTCGTGCGAAGGCCTGCTTGAGTTGAGGGCAGACTTGCCTCCAGCGGACGCTTAGTGCGCAGCCTGGACCCCGGACCGGCGGAATGAGCAGGCCCGGGGAGGACCCCAGGAGGGGTCGCCAGGGCTCTGCGGAAAGGAGTCGGTACGAGGAGTGCGTGGGGAAGGGGACTGAGGGGGGAGTTCTTGCAGAGCATGCGGCGGGGATTCCACACGCCGTACCCTTTGGGGCGGCGGATCGCTTCGCTCATTCCGCCAGCCCGTATTGTGCCATCGCAGGCGTTTGCCTGCGCGTTCGTGGCCTCTTGGGGCCTCTTGGGGGCCGCTTTGGGGCCTCTTGAAGCTTCTTTCTGAGCCTCTTGGGGGCCTCGTGGGGTCTCCAGGGGGCCTCTGGGGCTCTCTTTGGGGCCTCTTGGTGCCTCCTGGGTGCCTCTTGGGGTGGAAGGCTCGAATTGGTGGATCGCCTTCCCCTCTTGGGCCCCTCTTTGGGCCCTCTTGGGTGATCTTGGGCGCCTCTGCGGCCGTTTTGGGCCCGTCTTGAGGCCCTCTTGGGCGACCTTGGGCCTTGGGGCCCTCTGGGGTCGTTTTGGGCGTTCTTGGAGGCCTCTTGGGCCGCGTTGAGGCGATCCTGGAAGCCTCTTGGGCCGTCTCGGAACGCCGGTAAACCGAAAAGGCGAGAACGCCAACTTCCTTCAAAAACTCAAGCACAAACATTAACTTCTGCCTATGCGGGTCCTCTTGGGAGGTCTCTTGGAGACCTCTTGGGCCGTCTTGGAGGCGTTTTGGGTTGTCTGGAGGCCATCTTTGGCGTCTTGGACCGCTCTTGGACCGTCTCGGACCATGCTGGGCTCTCTTGGAGGCCACTTGGAGCGCTCCTGGAGCGCTCTTGGGAGCCTGCTGGGACCAGGCCGGTACCTGCCCGGGACCTTGCCGGGACCTTCCCAGGTCCAAGGGCCCCCAGAGGCGGCCCCGCGCGCACGAATTAGACATATTGTTAACCAGTTGCCGGAGATCTTAGCACGCTGTTGGCCCGTTGGGCCAGCGAGTTCCCCAAGACGACCCCGTTCTGTGTGCGCGGCTGCCGCGGGCACGCACGCCTCGTATCCTAGCCTCTCCCAGCACGCGCCAGGCAGCGGCACTGGTTGTTCCGAGACTTCCCGCGCGTTGCTGTCTCTCCTCCCTTCTGTGTCGCTCCTCTCGCTGTTGTCCTGCAGCTGTGCTCTCCGCCGCTCGCTCGACGCGGTAAATCCCGTGGCCACCCTTTTTGTCACGATGCTCCCGCGGAGGCTGCTCCCTGGCGGGCTCCATCTCCGTGCCTCCTCGCCCTCAGCGCATCAAACCAGCCACCCCAAAAACAGCCAACAAAAGACACAGAACACATCAGAACACAGACACAGCATCAACAAAAAAAAAGACACAGAACACATCTCCGTGCCTCCTCGCCCACTCCCCGCCCCTCTCTGCCCCTGACCCCCGTCTCGTCGCTCCGTGGGTGTCTGCGTGCGTGGCGGAGCGGAGCTGAAGTCGAGCCCCGCCTTAGCATTTGCGACGGTGCCGCCACCTTGCCGCTGGCCTGGAGGAGTAAGTGTGCGATTTGTGTGTTACTGTGTGTTAATGAATGTGTGTGTGTGTGTGTGCGTTCATGTGTGTTAATGTGTGCCCCGATTCGCCCCACGCTTCTGCGGACTGCCTCTGCCTCGCCGCTGACGGCGACAGTGTGTGTATGTGTGTATGTGTGTGTGTGTTTGTGTTGTGTTTGTGTGTTTGAATTCGCGTTGGGCACCTGGGCCGCGGGTGATATTGCTATGCAGCGCAGTCGGTCTCTTTTTTTTGTTCTCTCTCTCTCTCTCTTTGTCTGTCTGTTTGTCTGCCTGTCTGTCTCTCTCTCTCTCTTTCTCTTTCTGAGGCCACGGCTCACTCCATAATGTTGCAAACTGTAGGTCGGCTTGTTTGCTGTTGAGTCCCGATGTCCGCTCTCTTTCACCGCCTCAGAAATATCGGAGGTTGGGTTGCGCGATCGAAGTGGAGTGGAGAGCCCCCCGCTGATACATCGGTTTCGGTTTCGGTATCCGTGTCGTGCGGGCGAAGCGAAGCTACGTGGGTGGGCGAGAGGAACGACTCCGCTATGGCAAGGGCAGGTCAAGTCAAAAGACTGCCTCTCCGGTGGGCTGGCGTGGCCGGGAGTGTTCCACCGTGGTGTCCCGCCGTCGGTGTCCCGTCGGTTTACGCGGGCGGTGGCCGAGGGTGTCACACCGTGGTGTCCCGTCGGTGTCCTCCCGTCGGTGCCCCGTCGGCTTCCCGTCGGTGTCCCGTCGGAGCTCCGTCGGTGTCCTGTCGGGGTCCCGTCGGTGTCCCGCCGTCGGTGGCCCGTCGGTGTCCCGTCGGTGTCCCGTCGGTGTCCCAATTTTTGTCCCGATTGGTGTTCCGATGGTGTCCCGATTGGTGTTCCGATTGGTGTCCTGATGGTGCCCCGGTGTCTCGATGGTGTCCTGGTAGGTGTCCTGGTAGGTGCCCCGATTGGTGTTCCGATGGTGTCTTGATGTCATCCTGGTGTTGTACTGGTTGGCGTTTCGATTGGTGTCTCGATGGTGCCCCGGTGCCAGCGGTGCCCCGATTGTGTCCCGATGGTATGGCGGTGCCCCCATGGTTCCCCGATCGTATGTCGGTGGTTTTCAGGATCGCTAGTGAGATCGCTAGTGAGATCGATCGTCGTGTTAGCCCATCGCCCTCATGCATTGTCGTCAGCATGGTCGTCTTGCATCGTCGCCAACTCGTGAGCGCATCAGCATCGCCACCATCACAATCATCGCAGTTGTTCTCAGTTGTGTCTTTCCCCCGAAACCTCCTTATCATCCGAGGAGTGGTCGTATAGGATATGTTGTAGGTCGGTTCGTACGGCTTTCTGGTTTGCCTGGTGACCTTTTGATTAGCTTTGTTGTTGTTGCCGAGTTGAGTGGACGTCTGTGGTCGCGCTCTCCTCCCCTTCCTCAAAGTCAAGCTTCTGCCGTGAACAACTAGGAGCATTACCGCAAGCACGGGAGCATCCAAGTTGGTGCTGCTCCCCACGGGGATCCGCAGCCACTTCGGCTGAAGGGCTCTGACAGCCCAGCAATTTCTTCCCCCCGCGCACTTCGCTCACGGGGGTCGACTCATTGCCAGGAGCGTCTCGCGCATTCTCTTCAAAGCGCGGTCGCTCCGTCTCTATCTGACCGTGAACCCGAATCGCCGAAGAATAACATCATGGCCGCATACTATTACCAGGACGCCGCGGCCGCCGCGCACTATGGCCCCTGCCCGATCGGCGTCCCGCCCTGGGTGCCATCCTACGTTGCCGGCGGCGCGCCGGCAGCGACCGCGGCCGCCCAGCCGCCGTCGCGAGAGGTCCCGCCCCACGGGAGAGAGGGCGACAAGAAGAGCCCCGAGGAGATGGCGAACGACCTGCTGAGCAAGCTGGACGAGCAGTCCATGTGGAAGCTGGCCAAGGAGCTGCTCGACCTCGGCCTGGTGCGCGTGGCGAAGATGGAGGCCGTGGGCATGGACGCGGAGGGCAGTGAGGGCGAGGACGGCAGGGTCGGCGCCGCCGGCCAGTCCCCGCCGCCGCGGTACTTCACCGGCCCGCCCCCGCCAGGCTCCGCCGCCGCGGCCGCTCCGCCGCTTCTGGCGATGCCCCCGCCCCCGGACGAGTGGGGCTCGGTGCCGCAGGAGTGCCAGGTGCAGTATCCTTCGACCGACCCCTATACCCCTCATCCCCATCCCCATCCAGACCCCCACCACCAGAGCACCCCGGTTGGGGATATGCCCTTCGAAGCCCGGAAGGGACAGCCTAGGTCCCCATCTAGGGGGCTACATCGGCCAGTCGGGCACAGGCCACGTCCATGGGGACAGGGGTCGGTCAAGCGGTGCTCACAGTTGCAGATGCTGCACGCGATGCAGGAGCATGCCTCCTACGCCTCGCGGGTGCTCGGCGGCCCGGTGCCACCGATGGCCGCCGCTCCCTGGGACCTCGTGCCGCCCATGCAGGGCATGCCGCTGCCCCCCCCCGCGGCGATGCCCGCGTGGCCAGCCGACCACGCGCCCAGCCTCAGGCAGCCGCGGGCGCAGATCCAGCTCGCGAAGCAGCTGCCCCCCCAGGCCAAAGAGGCCGGGCGCCGGAGCCAGCAGAGGGTGGAGGTGGACGACGAGGACCACGAGGGCGCTCAGGAGGGCCAGGGCCCTCTGGTCGACGAGGCGACCGCGACGACCATGATCCTCCGGAACCTGCCCCCGACGTTCACGCAGCAGGGTACGCAGGAGTGGCTGGACGAAAAGGGCTACAAGGGCAAGTACGACTTCGCGCTCTTCTTCCCGGCGCGGAAGACATCCCGCCTCAGCATATTCCCGTACGCGTTCGTCAATTTCCTCACGCTGGAGCTCGCCCAGGAGTTCAAGGGCCAGTTCCACCTGTCTCGTTTCTCGGGCGAGCCCTGCAGTGAGGTGGTCGAGGACAACGGCAAGCAGGCACCGCCGCTGAGCGTCGTTGCGGCCCGCAGGCAGGGCTTTTCGGAGAACTACGTGCGCTTCTCCCACCTGCTCGACGACACCAGAAGCACTCAGTGCAGGCCCTTCTTCGCGGACGAGTCGATCAAGTGCCTCTCGAAGGACGAGTTGGAGGCGGCGCAGAAGCAGGCCCAGCAGGTGGCCGCGGAGAACCTGGCCTCTGAGGCGCCCTGCACCACCTTCATCGTGAGGAACCTGCCACTGGCGCTTTCGGACCAGGATGCCGCGCGGGAGTGGCTCGACAGCAAGGGCTTCAAGGGGGAGTACGACTTCTTCATCTGGTTCCCCGAGAAGAAGCAGCGCAAGGCGGCCTTCGCGGCCGACGCCGCCGAGCAGCCCCAAGGGATGGGGTACTTCTTCGTCAACTTCAAGGACGCCGCTGCGGGCCAGAAGTGCAAGGACGACCTCGACGGTCATAGAAGAAGGAGGAACAACGGCATAAACATGAATTGATGGCGCTCCGCGCGGATTTCTCAGATCTGCGCTGGACCCCCCTCCCTGGCGCGCGGAGCGCGCCAGGGGCGGCGCCAGAGGCGCCGCCGGGGTCCCAGCTCGGATCCAAGAACTCCGTCGGCGCGCCACTAAGTGTATGTTTACGCCGATCTGTCTTCTTTCAGGAGGGAAAGAAACACACAGACACAATTAATCGTCGATCCCCCGGAAAATTTGGGAAAATATGGGAAGTGGGGGGGAAGACAAAAACCCAGAAACTATGGGGAAATATGGGGAATCTTTTTATTTGTGTGTGTTTTTATTTGTGTGTCCTGGGGCCCCTTCATTCTTCGAGGTCAGCAGTTCGACGATTCGGGCGAGCGCCTCAACGTGGTCGCCGCGCGGAAGCAGGGGCTCGACGAGCTCCTGCGGCACTTCGGGAACCTCGGCGAAGGCGGGCGCGTGGCCCCGTGGGTGGCGACCGACCGCGCCGACCGGTCATCGGCCCAGGCGTCGTGCCAATGATGTAATTACACTGCCGGGCAGAAACATCCAGCATTGCTTCCTCCTCCTCCTTCTCCGCCTCCTCCTCCTCCTCCTCCTTCTTCTCCTTCTCCTCCTTCTCCGCCTCCTCCTTCTCCGCCTCCTCCTCCTCCTCCTCCTCCTTCTCCGTGTCCTCCCTCCTCTCTGCTCCCTCCTCCTGCGGTCTCCCTCCTCCTGCTTCCTCCCTCCCTCCTCCCTGCTCCCTCGTCGGACTTTTCCTCCAGGATGGCCAAGATCGAAGGAGAAGAAACGGCATAAACATCTACTTTTGGCGCTCCGCGCGGATTTCTTGGGTCCGCGCTGGGCCCCACTGGCGGCGCCTCCGGCGCCGCCCCCGGCGCGCCGCAGATCCAAGAAATCCGCGTGGAGCGCCAGCAGTTTATGTTTATCCAGTTGTTTTCTTATTTGTAAAGAGCATTGTCCATCGTCGTCGTCTGCCTGCTTCTACCCGCGTTTCTATCCTCTCTATCTCTCTCTCTTTCTCTCCCTCGCTGGGTCCCGACGGATTGGTTCCTCAACCTGCGGGCCCCATCAAGGCGGCCCCTGGAGGTCGAAACGGAGGAACAACTGCCAGCACAACGGCCAGCATGGAACAAAAATCCGGTCTACCCGAAGTCTGGGCTTCACGCCCAGCGCGCGCTGTGTCCGAGGATTTCCTCTTGGACATCCGCCGATCTGATTTTTGCCATCCGCGGCCCCAAAAGTCCAGATCCTTTCCCCCTGGGCCAGTCTTTCGCCCCTCGGGGCCTGACGACGGGGCCTCAGGGCCTGACGGGCCCCAGAGGCAGAAAACGGGTCAGAACGCCAGGATGGGAAACATCACATTGTCGGAGATTTGGGCCCGAGTATCGCCAGCACCAGCACCTGCGCCTGCGCAGGGCGCCCTTCTCCTCGCGGATCTCCCCCCGACGCGCCCCGGGCTCGCCCAGGCCGCGCCAGCCTCCCTGCTTTTCCCTCTCCTCGTCCTCTTCGTTGTCGTCGTCCTCCTCATTCTGCTCCTCCTCTCTTTCCTCCTCCTCCTCCTCCTCCTCCTCCTCCTCCTCCTCCTCCGCCTTCTATTCAAACGGTAGGTTACCAGTGCAGCCAAGTAGTGATTAAGGGCACTCCCTTTGGCATTTGGCTCAAAGGATCCCTTTGCGCGCCCGCTCTGAAGTGTTGTTGCACATCGCTCTACATTTTCCACTGCGAAGAACATCTCGTTCACAATCCGCCTTGCGTGTCTGGTTGGAAGCGGAACGCGTTGCTCCAGGATCCACAACCGCCCTGGCCCGCGAGGCTCTCCTCCGAGCCGGTGTCTCTCGCTCTACAGCCCGCTCTGCACCAAAGTGATCTACACGTTCGTGCTCTACGCTCGCACTGTTCGCCCACTTCGCCGCGGCAGGCCACGCGCCTCGAGGGGCCGCCAGGGCCTCCCCGGCGCCCAGCCGCCAGGACCGACGCAGGTGGCCCAGTGCGAGTGCTTCATCCAGTACGCCCACAAGGAGGACGGCGCGCCCCGCGCCACGGCCTCCCCCCTCGGGCGCTTTCGATAAATGTCCGAGATGCTCGGGGGCCCGTCGTCGTCGTGACAGCGCCCTCGCGGCGCCGCAATCCCTTGGGAACGCCCAGCTGTCGCGAGGATAAAGAACGCGACCATCCAGCGCGCGCTCGCGAGCTCAGCAAGTCTAGATTCGCGGATTCTCATGTACGGCCACGTCCACGTTCCGGGCAACATCCACGAACACCAACGCTATTTGGAGGACCGCGCCCAAACGGCGAATTGCTACCTGGAGAATCCAACTTCGGAGTGACGGACGAGTCAGCACTACCGTCGGTCAGGGGCCAACTCGTCCTCCATCGTTGGGGCTCAAGGCAGTGGATCCGGCAACTGCGAGCCAGGCCAGCCGCCGCCGCAGTTCCGAGACGGGCAGCACCGCGAGTTGCCGACGCTGTAGGCACCCCGACGCCACGTCAGTACGAGCACTACGTGGCGACTCGCAGGAGACGCGCACGCGAGAGCTACGCGAGCTACATCTCCGGTGGTGGCACGCCACAAAGAAGGATATGGCACGAGCATTGCGGGCAGCCAACATGCCGCAGGCAATCCTTGACCTCACCCCCACACTGGTCAACAACTGTCGGGGATGCCGTAAGTGGCTACCACGAGCGCGTCAAACCATTCCTACGCCACGCCTGATTACCCCGTCGAACCAGCACGTTGACCGCGACATCCTTTACTGAGAGGATTGTACGATACTGCGCTTACTCTGATGCGCCTCACGGTGGAAAAAGGCCAGGATATCACATACATATGAGACTCGACGTTGCTGGCAGCAGTTGGCAGGTCATGGATCCCGGTGTTTGAAAGAGCGCTTTCTGCCGCTGCTGGCCGAAAACCGAGGGGGGTTCCTGAGGGTTTCCATCGCGCCCCCCTCTAGAAAACAGCGGGGGGGTCACTGCCCCGCCCTCCCCCCCCCTTTGCCCATCATAAAAGGGAGGGGGGGTCACTGCAGGTCGAGCCCCCCCCCTCCCCACCTCCTCGCCGCCGGCAAACGACTCCTGTATGGCGGGGGCAGCAGCGGGGGCGGCGGCGGGGGCGGCGGCGGGGAGTGGGGGCAGAGGGGCAGCGGTGGGGGCAGTGGGGACAATGGGAAGAGTGGGACCGTGATGGGGACAGCGATGGGGGCAGTGGGGACAGTGCGGCAGCCGGGGGGGCACAGGTGGGAACAGTTGGGGCAGCGGTGGGAAAAGAGTGGTGTCGGTGGGGCAGTGGCGGGGACAGTGGGGACAGTGGGACAGTGGTGGTGGGGGCCGTGGCGAGGGGGCAGTGGGGCAGCGGTGATGGGGGCAGTGGTGAGGGCGGCTGGGGAATTGGGGCAGAGGTGCAGTGGGGAGAGTGGTGGGGGCAGTGGGGACGGTGCGACAGTGGTGGGGACAGTGGGGGCAGTGGGACAGCACAGTGGACAGCGGTGGGGGCAGTGGGGCAGCGTTGAGGGTGGGGACAGTGGGACTGGTGGGGGCAGTAGGGGCAGTGAAGAGGGTGGGGCCGTGGTGGGGCCAATGGTCGGGACAGTGGGGATGCGACAATGGTGGGGGCACTTGTGGGGGCACTGGTGACAGTGGTGGGAACAGTGGGGACAGTGGGGCAGTGGTGGGGACAGTAGCGACATTGGGATAGTGGTGGGGACGTTGGTGGTACGTGGGGACAGTGGTGAGGGGGCAGTGGGACAGTGGCGGGGACGGTAGCAGCGGGGGCGGTTGCGAGGGGACAGTGGGGCAGTGATGGGGACAGTGGTGGGGGCAGTGGTGGAAACAGTGGGGACAATGTAACAGTGCTGCTGAAACAGTGGGGGCAGTGGGGCAGTGATGGGGACGGTGGTGGCGGTGGGGACAGTGGTGAGGGCGGTGGCGACGACGGCGGCGGGGGCCCGGGAACCGTTTGCCGGCGGCGAGGCGGGGGGGGTCGAACCAGCCATGTTTCCCATTGGTTTTCTGGAGGGGGGGGGTTCGAACTGGCATTGGCCCCTCTTGGTTTTTTCGGAAGGAGAGGGGGGGCGGGGGGCGGAGGGGGTTTTGCCGGGTGAAGGGGGAAGGGTTCGAGCAGGAGTGGATTTTCGGACGGGGGGGGGGGTCCGGAGGAAGGGGGGTGGGGATTTCCACGGCAGAGCGGCGGCGCATCGCGTTCTCTCATATTTTGATGCATGGAGACCTTCATTGTGCACGGCGAAAGCGGGATGACCTCCAAGTGCTTCGTAGAGGAGATGAGGGGGGACGGGCCCAGGTGGACATCCGTGCACCACGCCAGCGCGCTCGTTTCATAGAGCGACGCGGCGCAAAGCTACGGCGCGCGCCGCGCGCCGCTGAGGAGCAGCTGGGGCGCGGAGGCACAACCGCCAACTTCGACTCCGCGCCGCGTCGCGCCATCGTTGGCGCTACGCCATGCAGCGTTGTCTGCGGCAGGCAGCCCTCCACGCTGCCACCGCTCGAAGCAGACGAGGATGGCGAGGGCGTCCATGTCGCTGGTGCCCGGCCCGCTGCCGGTGGCGAGTCGCGGCCCAGCCGACCGCGATGTCGCCGCGCAGCGTGCGATCGATCGGATACTTCGATCGCCCGCGTGAGCCGCGCCTTCCGGACACGCGCCGCCGAGACTGGAGAGGGGCCTTTCAACGTGGGTGGTCTGGTGGAGGTGCGCCGGCCTCCGCGCGCAAATGACGCGCCAGGCTGAGAAAGTCCTGGTATTGTCCCTCCTGTGGGCCCGGCCCTGCAGGGGCAAGGTTGCGGCCGAGTGCCGCAACGCCGAGATGGTCTGCAGATTCCTGGGCGCGCAGACCGTCGTCGGCGCCGTCTCCAGCGACGCGTGCGCCAGCGTGGCGCGAGCGGGCCTGGCCTGGGATCGCGCGAAGGACTTCCTAGAGCAAATCGCGCCAGGCTCAGGGGCCTGGGCCTTCGGCCATTGGGAGGACGCGCAGGGCGAGCAGCTGATCGAGCAGGTTCCGCAACGCCCTGATGTCCTCGATGCTTTGCGCCACTTATCCCGCAGATGTTTTCAGCCACCTGGCGTTCGTGCCGTGCGTCTCGCGCGCGGTCAGAGACCTGTGGGCGACTGGCGGGGCTGCAACCGCAGTCTGGCCACCCGGCGTGCCCCTCGGGGCCTGGCCGACGCCCGCCAACTGCGCGGCGTCAGCTTCGACGCTCGCCGCGGATGGGCGCTTGCATCTTCCAGTTTGTCCTGGGCGACGAGCTCCTGCCGGCAGCCAATCTAGCGCCGGGCAGGGCCAGGGCGGGACGGGGCGTTCGATGTTCGCGTGTCGACGTTCCCGAGGGCGCCGACAGATTCGCCGAGGGTGGTTCAACATCAGCTCTGTCGGTGATGCCTGAAGAAGCCGACGGCGATTGTTTTGACCACGTCCAACATGCGATGCTGGTAGTTCGGCAGGGGGTCGGGGGCGCGGGGGATCTGGCCCAGGAGCAACGGGAACTGAAGGGCCCCGAAAGCCAGCAAAGGGCCCGCGCTGCCGTCGAGCACGCGGCC